GACACGTATAGTTGGTTGTGTTGTCAGTGCGGTGATCGTGGTGCCGTGGTGTGGTGTAGTAGGCTAGAAGTAGATCGGTAGTGTAGTTTCAATGCGGTGTCGACGGCAGTAAGAGCGCGAAACGGAAAGATAACCCCCTGCCCGACACCGACAGCTAGCTGTGTTGCCAGGACTGGCCAGCCGCAGAGACAGTCCCTACCACGTCCCAACTCAGCATCTCTGCGAACATCCTGCAGCTCCCCATCTTCAAGCATCAAGGCTCGCCCCCCAACAAAAAACAAAACACAAAAACTCTGCAGCTTTCGGGCCACCGCTGGGCGTGTTCCCGCGCTGCTCGGCCCCGCCTTTTTCCGGGGACCTGGCCGTGCTCGTCCTTGGCTTCCTGTGGCGCCACACGGTGAGCATGGCACAGCTGCACGCGTTTGCGACAAGCAGCAGAGTCTAGCGGAACAATTCTCTAACCATCTTCAACTAGCGGCTCCTCCAATCAAAGCCCAACAAAATCAACAACAAACACACCCTCGTGGCATATGTCGAACTTTCCCGTCCAACTCCGCGACCCCCCGCTGCGCTTCGAGGGGAGGCGGCCCAAGGTGTACCGTGTGTCCAAAGCTCCCCCAAGCTACAGCGCCGTTGCTGGGAACGTGTGTGTTGAGAATTGAAATCATAAAAAGAGTCGCCCAGAGCTGGCAGGAGCTGACGGGAGGCCCCGGGCTGCGCCTTCTCCGCCCCCGCCGCCAGGAGCGCTCCGACGACCTCCGCATGGCCCTTCTCTGCCGCATGCATCAGTGGCGTTTGGCCTCAGCAGGGAGGGGGGGGGGGGGCTCGAGCTTTTGGGGGGCTCGGCCCCGGCCCTGAGGACTCCAAGGATGCTGTATGCTGTACTTTTGAAGTTCGACACCTGCTGCCTCTAGAGCCACCGCAGCTTGAAAAAGAACGTGTGAGAGAGCAAGCTCTGAGCCTGAGGATGCAGTTATCAATTGCGGGGGGAAGGGCATATCTCCTATTGCGGGGCGAGTCGCGGTTCTCATGACGGGTGGGGTTCCAAAAAGACATGATCGACATGTAGCTCTTGACTTTATACTTCATATCGCGTCAATGTAGGGCGTTGCTGGCTGGCAGCTCACCGGCAGCCATGTCGGTTGCCGCCTCAACGCTTCCTAAGCCCGAGGAACCTGACCAGCGATGTCGGTTTTGAGGGGTTCACAATGCTCGCAGGATGAGGTTGGGAAAGACTCATATGTTTTGATGGCATTTCGGACACCAGGCGAGCACGCCATGAGCATCAAAGGCTCCCCGCCCCCGAGCAAAAACCAACCAAAACATCCTGCAGCTTTCGGGCCACCGCTGGGCGCGTGCGCGCTGCTCGGCCCCGCATTTTTCCGGGGACCCGGCTGCTGTTGTCTTTGGCCTCCTGTGGCGCCACACAGTGAGAATGGCACAGCTGCACGCTTGCGCGCAGCGCCAGCGTCTAGAAACAATGCTCCAAACATCATCAACTGGCTCATTGCAAACACACCCTCGATGGATGCCGAACTTTCCCGTCACACTCTGCAACCCCAGCTTGTTAAGAGAGGACATGTCGGCTCCCCTAAGTGCATGTTGGGATAGAGACACCCAGAGCTATAGGAGAGCCAACGCTCTTCAGCGAGCCCCGGAGGCAAGAGCTAACGGGAAGCCCCCCCAACCGCGCCTTCTCAGCCCCCGCCGCCAGCAGCGTTTCGACGACCTCCGCGTGGCCGTTTTTTGCCGCCCACATCAGCGGCGTGCGGCCTCAGCAAGGGGGGGCCTCCGCCAGGGGCTCGGGATCTCGTCCGCTGCTCTTTTTCTATCTGCAGCTACGTTGGGCCACCGCTGGACGTGTGTGCGCCGCTCGGCGCCACATTTTCCGGGGACCCGGCCGCTGTTGTTCTTGGCCTCCTGTGGCGCCACACACTCAGCATAGCACAGCTGCACGTTTGCGCGCAGCAGCAGAGTCTACAAACAATTCCCAAAACACCATCAACTGGCGGCTCATCGCATCAAGCGCAACAAACACGCCCGCGTGGCATACTGAACTTTCCCGTCACGCTCCGCGACCTCCCCGCTGCGCTACGAGGGGAGGCGGCCCAAAGTGTACTGTGTGCCCATGTCGGCTCTGCCAAGCTACAGCACTGTTGCTGGGAACGTGGTGTTGGGATTGGAGTCACAAAAAGCTTACCCAGAGCTGTAGGAGAGCGGATGCAAGAGCTACCGGGATTCCGCCCAATCGAGCCTTCTCCGCCCCCGCCGCCAGGAGCGCTCCGACGACCTCCGCGTGGCCGGTGTATGCCGCGAAGATCAGCGGCGTCCCGCCTCAGAAAGGGGGGCTCCGCCGGGGGCTCGAGCTCTCCTCCAAAACGCACGAAGCGAAAGGACAACAAAAATGTTTCGGGACAGGGAGCTTTTGGGGGCACAGGAGCTTTTGGGGGCCCATTTGGGGGGCTCGGCCCCGGCCCCGAGGACTCCGAGGATGCTGTATGCTGTACTTTTGAAGTTCCAAACCTACTGACTCTAGAGCCACCGCAGCTTGGACACACATGTGTGAGGAAAACAATTAAAAACGCATCGCGGCATACATCGCAACCCTGAGGATGTAGTTATGGCCTCAGCAAAGGGCGGCTGGTCACGCATCGGGCATCAAGCTCTCCTCCCCCCGGCCCTTCCCACGCGCTTTTGCGCAGCCGAGGCTCTTTTCCCCAACAGACTACTTGCACATGCTTGCAGTGTTTACACCCTCTCTGTGCCAATGATGCCCCGGCGCTCCAAACCTTTGCTGCATTGCCTTCCTCCGGGTCGGACGCAGACACTCGCACTGGTCAGCAAGCCCGCCGCAACCCACCCGACTCCGGCCGCCCCGTTTCCGGACACCAGGCGAGCACGCTATGACCGTCGACTTCCCTCTGTCGCTGCCCCAAGCTCCGGGAAAGGTCCTGGGAAACCCCTTGAGGCATCTTGAGACTGCATGATGCAAGGAGGCTCTGGAGACTTTGAACTTCCAGCTCAGACTCAGCGGAAGCTTGGCGGAAGCTGCTGCTCTTGCCCCTGCAAAAACCCCTTCTCTCTGTTCTTTCTTTGCGGGTGTTCAATTTGGCCCTGACGTGATCAGCTCACATTTGCATGACGGGGACACCACCCACGAACACCCAAGCTTTGCCATCCGCCCCCGCATGAACGAAACAAAAGTAACAACCACTACACGAGCGCTATAGGGGCACTGAAAGTTGCAGCTGTAAAGGACTGGTGGGGCAATCCTCTGCCCGACAGCTAGCGCTGTTGTCATGCTTGGCAGGCTCGACGGACACGGACCAACTCAGCATCTCTAAGAGTATCCTGCAACTCCCGATTCTCGAGCATCAATGGCTCGCCCCCCAACAACAAAAACAAAAACTCTGCAGCTTTCGGGCCATCGCTGGGCGTTCACGGGCGGCTCGGCCCCGCAGCTTCCGGGGACCCGGCTGTTCTCGTCCTTGGCCTCCTGGCGCCACACAGAGAGCATGGCACAGCTGCGCGGCGCGCGCAGCAGCAGAGGCTTCAGAAGATTCGCCACAAAATACAAGAACGGCTCATCGCGTCAAGACCAAAAACAACACAAAAACACAAAAAAACAAAAAAGCACACACACACACACACACAGATTCACACACGGAGACACACACACACACACACACACACACACACGGACACACACGGACGGACACACACACACACACACACACAGAGACACACACAGACACACACAGACACACACACACACACACACACACACACACACACAGAGACACAGACACAGACACAGACACAGACACAGACACAGACACAGACACAGACACAGACACAGACACAGACACAGACACAGACACAGACACAGACACACACACCCACACACACACACACACACAAAGACACACAGAGAGCTTTAGTGTTTCCAATCCGTACCCACATGGATGCTCGCATAGGGATAGAGGTAGGAAAACAAGATGCAGACGTAGGACTCCAAGGGATGAGGTAGAAGAGAGCGAGCGGTGTGTTATGTGATATTCCCGAAAGCATGGCGGAGGGTTCTTCAGCGGAGGGTGGTTGTCGTTAAAGAGTCGTCGGTATATGGATGACATGATGGATGGCGTGATGGATGGCGTGATGGATTTCGTGGCCTTCCTCTTTAAATTATAATATGCTTTAAAGCATGGGGTCGGGTTGGCGGGAGCCGCCGCACTGCTCAAAAATGGCGCGTGAACGCCAACCCTCTGCGTGCGTGCGTTGGTCGCGATCGCGAGAACGACGACCCTTTGCGTATGCGGGGCGTGTCGCCACTGCGTGAACGCCAACCCTCTGCGCGGGGGGGCCCGTGGTGTCGCGTCGTGAGAACGACGACCCTCTGCACGCGACACATCTGTTTCTCAAAAACTGCTGGACTTTGCAGAACCAGTCTGTATGATCGTGCATGACGTTGCAACTCTGCTCTGCATATGGTGACAAGGGAACTTGCGACGATGCCCTGCACCCTCAACCTGAACATGTACGCCTGCATCTGAAGTCAACGAACTTCCGGCTGCACTCATACGGCCTGATGCATGTCAACATGTTCCATTCGAGCTTGCTGCGTCAAGGCATGCCTGACGCACAACCACTCGAAGAAATCATCCTTGCTCAAAATTTACCAAAATGGAAAATACTGCACTCTTTGTTGGAGTGGTTGAAGCAATACCGAGGATGCACCATACACAGCTTGAGTTACAGGACGATAACCATACACAGTTGGATGTCTAAGCGTTGGCACAAGCACAGAGAGCGAAGACCGGACCAGTTCCGAGTTGTGCGCCTTGTCACGTGGGTTAAGCCCTGTGTTTCTCCGCCCCTAGCGGCACAGATCCTAGGTCCCTCTCATTTCCTTCGCCTAGATTTCTTTTGTCGCATGGCTTTTTCCATACCCAACATTCCAAGTCTTTGGTAGCTGAATGTTCTCTCTTGCAGTCTGAGCCATGGCAACCGAAGCAAAGGCCGAAGAAGCGGCCGGTGATGCAAAAGCAAAAGAAGAGCCGACACCAACACCAGCATCAGTAGCGTCTGTCGCCGCTGCAGCACAATCTTCGGCACTCAGCGCCGAGGACCTTGAGCAGTTCCGCATTTGGCAAGCGCAGAAAGCAGAAAGTTCTCTCCAGCTTCAGAACGCTAAGCCACCGGATTCCCCAGCAAAGAAGCCGAGGCTTCAGGAAGAAGAGGAAGTCCATATGTTTGTAGAAAAGCTTACAGAATTGGATGTGAATTTCGCTGACCTCGACCCTGCATTGCAAGACAAGTTGAAAACGAGCGCGACTGCACGCGCAGACTTCTTGGCCATTCACAGCGCTACAGAAAAGTACGACCCCACCACAGGCGCTTTCAAACAGCAACCGACGAAGAAGAGAATCTTGGACACCGCCGCAGGCCCGGACCAAGCTCTTCCTCCAGTTACTGACAACGATGCATTCCAACAGGCAATGCTGCAGTATCCCAAAACTTCGATGCTTCCGAACATGGACAAGCTTTATCAGTGCTGTGATCTCTTTTACAACCAAGTCCAGACGGAGTTCGCGATACAGCAGATCACTACGGAGCGGCACGCCGCGCAGCTCCAGGTACTTGAACGTGCGCGATCCAACAAGACAGTCCTCCTCCTCGACCTCCCGGCTTTGTTCAACAAGAAGACGCTCGACACCAACTTGTATCACTATATTCAAGGAGCTGGCTTGCAGTGGGCCGACATTGCGGCCCTGCATAACCATATGGTCACCACGCACTCGTCAGTCGCCCGTGTTGAGTTCATCACCGAGACCCAGGCCCAGCAGTTCAGAGATTTCATGCGCCAGAACCGCAGGTATTGGAAGTCCCCGAACCTTCCGGACTGCAAAATCCGCGTTGAGCAGGACCTCCCCACAGATGATCGCTTGGCCACGCAGCCCTTTTACGCCTTGATCGACCTCCTTTCGGAATGCACTGACACCCCGGACTTGCAGACGTGAAGACAGACCCTCCAAATCTGGACGCCGCGAGACGAAGAGCCGAAGCAACTTCTGGCACAGGTTGCTTATGTTTTGGACCCCCGATATCCCAGGCGTTACACATGTCTTTTGCTGGTTCATGAGAAGTACTATGAGGAGTTTCTGGTGAAGTGGCACGCCAAGTTTACGAAGCGACTCCACGATACTGTTCAGCTGATTCAGGCCCTTCGCCGGGCCACTATTGACAGAACCACGACGCAGCGAGCCTCCTTTGACAAGGCTTTTGACCTCACTACCCTTGCCAGCTTGCAGGCATTTACGCACCCCATCATGCCGGTTCGATTTCGTCAGAGCGTGCCAGTCTTTTAGAGTCTCACCCCATGTTGCCTTTTCAGGGAGCAGGTGGCCTTACGGCCCTCACTGCCCAGGCTTTCCAAGATCACGGCCTAACAGATGATTTCTCCAAGGACTCCCCTAAGTCCCGAGCCCCGGGTAAAGGCAAGAACCAAACCTGGAATCGCCCCTACCAGAACTATTCCTCAGCCTACTCATACTCAAACTACCTCGCTAAAGGCTCCAAAAAGGGCAGCGGTAAGGCCCAGCCCAAAGGAGATTGGAAAGAAAGGGACCATGACTCTAGAACAAACTGGAAGGACCCCAACCACGATAACGATGGGGATGGCAACCGTGACAGATGGGGAAGATATCCCGGAACTGGGAAACAGTCCCAGCCGCGATATGGAGATGGCAAAGCCAACAACAAAGGCTCCGCTCAGCAGGGCAAGAACCCCCAGTATGGTAAGAACCCCGCTACGGTACAGCAGGTAGCAATTTGTTCCACCTGTTCATGCGCTCTAGGTTTTAATATAGACTGTCAGGAGTGTGGTAGACACCCGATTCCGCCAGGATTCCAATGGAAGGATACCGCCCCAGTCAGAGCCCTGATTTGCCCCTGTACCAATGAGGCCGGGGCCATCTGTGGCCAGCCTTTAGGACACTCCCCAGCTTGTGAGTTTTGTAGGGAGCATCGAAGCAGACTAAAGACTCTTTGCCATGTCGCGGCGCAAGTGATCCTCTCCATCTCGGATTAAGAAAAGTGGCCCAACCTCAATCTGCGCGTCGTTCAACGCATGCGCGAGCACCAAGAAGAGAATCGCGCATTCGAGCACATCCACAATTGACGTAGAGCAATCCGCGCATGGCACTATCCAGCAACCAGCATACTACATGAATCTCCACGAGGTGGAGCAAGTTATGGACATCATGCACAACGTCTGTACTGGACCAGGTAGAAACGGTCTTTGCGCATCCGTTTGTGGACGTGGAGGAATTCGCGAACCACGCCCCAGACGCGCTGCTGGCAATCGGCACTGGTGGGACGTCGCCTGCAAGTTGTCTGCGGCGCTGGCCGTTCGGATCATCTCCTGGTTGCTGCACCGAGGACTGCGGTGGAAAGGGGCACTGGTGCTCAGGACGCGGGGAGGGTCTTTCGAGGACTGTGGCGGAAAGCTGATGCCTACTGGGTGCTCAGCGCACCAGGTAGGACCCATTGCTACCACGCCCACACACTCGAAAAGAATCAGGTCAACATGTCCGGCGATGTCCGGTGCACCTGCCATAGGAGCGAGTACCGCTTTCAGACTCGGACACCACCAAGGCCTGACATGGCAGACTGAGAGATTTCTCCACGCTTATCCCGCCTCTATAGGGCCGTGAGCAGAAATGTCACCGAGCAGAGGACTCGCGGAGTTTTGTGATTGGGTTAAAGAGAACTACATCGTTGACGGCAATCTTCGTGACAAGGAAACCCCAATCCAGGTTCCAGAGGGACGTTCCGCTTAGTGATGTTCCACTCCCTCTACCTTCTGCCAGGAGTGGACACACGACCATCGACGTCGTTGACGACACAGATTTTGCTAAGCTGGCTGATGGGACGCCTTCGGAGATAACTCAAGACATAGCCCTTAGCGACTTGCCCGTCGTGGACATTCATCCTGGATGAGGGATGCAACGGCACCGTCGACGAGGTTCAGCTTGAGTCCTTAGTTTAAGACTAGCCCACCCAAAGGCTTCAAGGGCCTATCAGGACAGAATCTGGGAAGCAGGAGTACACGCTTCTCTCTTACCACCATTGAAGGGAAGAGGTTGCCAAGGACATTAGACGAGATCCCCGGATCAGCACCTTTGCTGCTTGCCAGGCGTGCGCAGGCGCAGTTGTGTCTGACTAAGGTCACGCGCAAAAGAAGAGCTTACGGAAGCCTCCCCAACAACCCGGAGCATAGACTCGAGTTGAAGTTGTTCAAGACCCATGACAATGGTGTTGGCTATTCACACGTCGTCAGGATTGCTACGCGAGGCAACCCTTAAAAGTTACACATTAATTAAGGAGTTTGAGAACGTGCCGAGTCGGCTCAGACCTACAGTCTATGCGACATTCTGCCACGCACAGACGAGTCAATCTCGTCAGAGGAGCAGCATCGTCGTCGCAGGACGTACACGCTGGGCAAATGCCCTAGGTGTCTTCAACGGCGCCGCCACCAGAACCAAAGTTGGTGGTCAATATCTTTGGCTACGGCGCACACTTTGAGCCGGCTATCCAAGCCGGGCGCAAATTGTGGCTGTGCTCCACGTTGCCTTCGTCGTCCAAGACGTAGTGGTCTTGATCTTGTAGAGATCGACGAAGTGAATGGTGGGGCACGGGAAAGTGTTGCGGGTCAAGATGGTATCCGCGCCGCGCGTGCCACTTTTAGCGTTGCCCCATATGGTAAGGACGTCGGGCATGAGATGGGTAACAGGGGCTGCGGAGGCTCCCAGAGACACCATCTGTTTAGTTGCGCTGTAGACCACTTGATTTCGATGGTGAAGTTGTGTTCGTATTGCGCCCCTGCTTTATCCTACTCAGCTCGGACAAGCTTTTCGAACGCGCTCTTGGTCAGCCAGCTCATCGCGCGGTGTAGCGCAAATAGAAAAGCGAGGTGGTGGCGCTCTGCTGATCCACTGCAACACTCAAGACAACCTTGCATTACCGTCTGCACTGTCCCTCGCATCATGAGTTTGCTCTAAGACGACCATCGTTGCAGAACGCTCCGTACAATTAGCTGAGTCATGCTGAGTCCATCGGCACGCACATGCTCATTATTAATTGTTATCGATTTTGGAAGTAAACAGCGATGCGCAACTCCCAACTCAACACATGTAGGCGTGCAGAGAATGCAGCACGCAACACGAGACTTTACGCTCCATCCAACGTTCATTGCTGCGCTTGATTGCGAAATTTCTCAACACGGACTCCTGTTGCCACCGGTTTGTGCACACAATTGTTGCCCTAAGGGTATTGATCTTCACATCTTGCGCAAACATGTCCATCATGGCGGATATCTCGTCTTTCACATTGTCTGCTGCACGTGCAGAATGATCGACGATGCTGTCCCAAGCTACAAGGCGTCCGCCCTAAGGCGACCCACGCGGGCAAAAGGTGACTCACCCCAAGTAGACGCCCCTGAGTGCAAAAGGCAACCCATGCACGCAAAAGGCGACCCACAGAAAGCCAATCCCCAGGGAGACGCCCTTGCCCGGGTAACTTTTGCAACATAGCCAAAAACAAGCAAACTGCACGCGAGACCTAGGATTTCGGAAGACGATGCACCCTGAAACCCCAATGTGACGCCTTGCCAGACTATGTGCGCAACATAGCAAAACACAAGCGAAAGTTGCTGGAAGCGCAGGGATAAGTGTGCCCCTTCCAGACCAAACAGAGCGACGCAAACGGTTTATGATATGTCCATAGAACCAGAACCCCGCGAACCTTGCGCGTCATTTTAGGGAGTGTGGGGTTCAGTGTCAGAGTTTTAGACTCTAATGCGGTAGATTGAGCGTTTAGGGTCTATAGTAGGTTACCGGAGGCGTTCGGGTTTTCCCAAAGATAGCCAGGATTGATTAAGGAATGTACCAGAACAGAAAACTGCAGGGGGACGCCCCGGCGAGACGCCCACGTGTCATAAAGATACTGTGCCACACTAGAAAACTGCAGTGTGACGCCCTGATGAGACGCCTTTTGCCTGCGCGAGATGCCTTAGGGCAACCACCTTGTAGCGCTGTTGCTGGGAACGCGCGCGAGGATTGCGAGTTCACAAAGAGAAAAAAACAAACAAAAATGAAGCCCGGAGAGCTAACGGGAAGCCCCCAGCCGCGCCTTCTCCGCCCCCGCCGCCAGGAGCGCTCCGACGACCTCCGCGTGGCCGCTGTATGCCGCGAACATCAGCGGGGTTCTGCCTCAGCAAAGGGCGCTCGAGCTTTCCTCCCCCCCTCCCCAGGACCTTGACTCCGCCGCCCCGTTTCCGGACACCAGGCGAGCACACCAAGACCTTCGATTTCCCGCCTTCGCTGACCCAAGCTCCGGGAGGAAGGTCCTGGGAAACCCCTTGAGACATCTTGAGACACCAGGAGACTCTGGAGACCCTGGCCTTCCTGCTCAGACTCAGCAGAAGCTTGGCGGAAGCTGAGGTTATCAGCTCAAATTTGCATGACGGGGGCACGACAGGAATACCCCAGCTTCGCCATCTGCTCTCACTCGCATAAGACACAACAAAAAGGAACAACCACAATGGGGCATCTGGAAGCCTTGAAAGAAAGCTATGAAGGACTGTGGGGCACTGAAAGGGGGAATCCCCTGCGCGACAGAGCTGCCAGCTCTATTTTGTTTTTTCAGGCTTGCAGGCTGGCATCTTTGAGGAAACGAGGCCGGAGAGCCACAGAGAGTCCCAACCACGTCCCAACTCAGCGTCTCTGCAAACCTGTCGCTCCCGATCTTCGAGCAAACAAATGCTCGCCCCCACCATCAAGCACACAACAACTCTGCAACTTTCGGGCCACCGCTGGGCGCGTACACGGGCTGCTCGGCCCCGCATTCTTCCGGGGACCCGGCCGTCCTTGTCCTTGGCCTCCTGAGTTGCGCCACACAGTGAGTCTGGCACAGCTGCACACGTTTGCGCGCAGCAGCAGAGTCTTCAAACAATTCTCAAAACATCATCAACTGGCGATAACTGGCGGCTGGCTCGTCGCATCAAGCCCAACAAACACACCCTCGTGGCATGTGCCGAACTCTCCCGTCACACTCCGCGACGCCCCGCTGTGCTACGAGGGGAGGCGGCCCAAAGTCACCCAGAGCTATAGGAGAGGCAAGGCTCTCCTCGCTGAGAGCCCCGGAGGCAAGAGCAAACGGGATTCTTCCCAGCCGCGCCTTCTCAGCCCCCGCGGCCAGGAGCGCTCCGACAGCCTCCGCGTGGCCTCTTTCTGCCGCGAAAATCAGCGGCGTCCGGCCTCAGCAGGGGGGGGTCTCCGGGGCAGGAGTTCAGGGGGCTTTTCGCGCCGCCGAGGATCTTTTCCGTAACGCACAAAGTGAATGACGATGTACGAGCATCTAGAAGCCTTGAAAGCTATAGCTGCAAAGCGCTGTGGGGGAATCCCCTGCGCGACAGCCAGCTCTGTTGCCAGGCTTGCAGGCTGGCATCTTTGGCAATCTTTGGAAGAAACGAGACTGGCCAGCCACAGACAGCCCCTACCACGTCCCAACTCAGCGTCTCTGAGAACATCCGGCAGCTCCCGATCCTCGAGCATCAAAGGCTCGCCCCCGAACAACAAAAGCCAAAACTGCAGCTTTCGGCTGGGGGGGCGCGCTGCCCCGCATTTATCCGGGGACCCGGCCGTCCTCGTCCTTGGCCTCCTGTGGCGCCACACACGTTCTCAAAGCATCATCAACTGGCTCAAACACACCCCTGACGTGTGCCGATCTTTCCCGTCGCACTCCGCGACCCCAAGCCAAACTTGCTACGAGGGGAGGCCCAACGTGTACTGTGTGCCCGTCCCAAGCTACAGCGCTGTTGGGATTGGCACAAAAAAATCACCCAGAGCTACAGGAGAGCCAAGGGTCTTCAGCGAGCCCAGACCCCCAGCCGCGCCTTCTCAGCCCCAGCCGCCAGGAGCGCTCCGACGAGATTGGTGTTGGCGAAGTGTGCTGCCAACATCAGCGGCGTCCGGCCTCAGCAAAGGGGGGGCTCCGCCCGGGCGCTCGAGCTCTCCTCCGAAGCTCTTTTTGTAAAACACACGAAGCGAAGGACAGCCAAATAGGTTGGCGGGCTCGGGTCCGGCCCTAAGGCCTCCGAGGATGTTATATTCTGTAGTTTGAAGCTCGAAACATGCTGACTCTAGAGCCACTGCAGCTTGCACAAGAACGTGTGAGAGAGTGAAAAATCGTATCGCAGCAGATCGCAGCCCTGAGGATGTTGTTGTATAGATGCAGGGCGAAGCGCGTTTCTCGAGTCTCTGAGTCTCTGAGAACATCCCGCAGCTCCCGATCCTCGAGCATCAAAGGCTCGCCCAAAACATCCTGCAGCTTTCGGGCCACCGCTGGGCACGTGCGCGCTGCCCCGCATTTATCCGGGGACCCGGCCGTTGTTGTTCTTGGCCTCCTGTGGCGCCACACACTGAGCATGGCACAGCTGTGCACGTTTGCGTGCAGCAGCAGTTTCCAGAAACAATTCTCAAAACATCATGCGGCTCATCGCATCAAGCCCAACAAACACACCCTCGTGGCAAATGCCAAACTTTCCCATCACACTCCGCGACCCCAATGTTACGAGGGGAGGCCCAAGGTGCACTGTGTGCCCATGTCGGCTCCCCCAAGCTACAGCGCTGCTGCTGGGAACGTGCATGTTGGGGATTTCGAGTCACAAAAAGGCCGCTCTCCTCTCTGAGAGGCTCGGAGGCAAGAGCTAACGGAAGCCCCCCAGCCGCACCTTCTCAGCCCCTGCCGCCAGGAGCGCTCCGACGACCTCCGCGTGGCCCTTTGATGCCGCCAACATCAGCGGCGTCCGGCCTCAGCAAGGGGGGGCCCCGCACGCGTCAGCTCTCCTCCCCACAAAGTGAAGGACAACCAAATACGACGAGACGGGCCACCAGGTTGCGGTGGGGAGCGCTTTTGGGGGCTCGGCCCCGGCCCTGAGGACTCCGTAGTTTGAAGCTCGAAACATGCTGACTCTAGAGTCGCAGCTTGAACACAAGCGTGTGAGAAAAACCGCATCGCAGCAGATCGCAACCCTAAGCCTGAGGATGCAGTTATCGAGGCGAAGCACATTTCTCCCATTGCGGGGCGAGGTGCGGTTCTCATGACGGGTGGGGTTGGGTTCCAGTCGCCTCAACCAGGAAACTTCCTAAGCCCGAGGAACCTGTCTGCTTTGGGTGCCAGACAAGTTGGACGTAAAACGTGACCATAACTGTCAGATCAATGACGTCCCTGACCTCCTCAGACAAGCTACTTGCACATGCCTGCACCGTATACACCCTCTCTGTGCCGATGATGCCCCGGTGCACGAGGCCTTTGCTGCATTGCCTTCCCTTCCTTCCCTTCCAGGTCGGATGCAGAAACTCGGACTGGTCAGCAAGCCCGCCCGCAGCCCCCGACACTCAGGCCCCCCATTTCAATGACTCCTTTCATACGTTCGCGCGTTTCAAAATGGGCGGCGTCCGTACGTTCCGCAAGCACCCCTTCTTGTGAGGCACCCCATCGTGGTAATGAGTCATGGCGGCTTCCACCGAGCTCCGCGAAACCTGGGAACCCCTTGAGACACCTTGAGACTCCCAGATGCCAGGAGACTCACAGCGGATGCTTGGCGGAAGCTGCTGCTCTTGCACCCCAGAACAGAAACCCCTCCTCGCCGGTTCAGCTTTTGCAGGTGCTCACCGTGGCCCTGAGATTATCGGCTCGAATTTGCATGACGGGGGCACGACTCAGGAATGCCCCAGCTTTGCCATCCGCCCTCACGCGCAAAAAAACAAAAGTAGCAACCACTATACAGTGCAAGCCTTGAAAGCTATAGCTCTGTTGCCAGGCTTGCAGGCTGGCCTCTTGGAGGAAACGAGACTGGCCAGCCACAGACAGTTCCAAGCACATCCCAACTCAGCGTCTCTGAGAACATCCCGCAGCTCCCGATCCTCGAGCATCAAAGGCTCGCCCCAACAAAAAAACATCCTGCAGCTTTCGGGCCCACCACAGGAGCGCGTTCCCGCGCCGCTCGGCCCCGCAGTTTTCCGGGGACCCGGCCGTTGGTGTCCTTGGCCTCCTGTGGCGCCACACAGTGAGCATGGCACGGCTGCACACGTTTGCGCGCCGCAGAGTCTAGAAACGGTTCTCAGCACATCATCAGCTGGCAGCTCCTCGCATCAAGGCCAACAAACACACCCCCGTGGCGCATGGCTCCCCCAAGCTACAGCGCTGTTTTCTGGAACCGGCGTGTTGATGGAGTCACAAACAGGCCACCCCAGAGCTAAGAGGAGAGCAGGATCTTCGAGCCAAACCGGAAGACCCCCCAGCAACAGCCAAAGTCTGTCAAGACAAGACCAACCACCCACTGCTGGATGTGCTAGCTCCGAAAAAGACACTTAAAAACAAAAAAACACGAGTCGGAGCACCCGCGCCTTGTCGGCGCCCGCCGCCAGGAGCTCCCGGAAGCACCCTGTGCTGCCACACTTGGCCGCCGTCATCAGCGGGGTCCCGCCTCGGGGGGGGGCATCAGCAGTCGGAGACCCTTCAGAAGGCCACGGCGTTCCCACCGAAACCGCTTCGTACCCCGATGCTCTGGTTAGGCAGCCGAAAGTTTCTGGCCTGAAGCCTGAGGCCTCGCCAGCGCAGCCCACACAAGCCCCTCAATCCCAGGTATTGCACCCGTTTGCCTCGAAAGGTAGCACAGGTGGCTTGGTCGGTTGGTGTTGTGCAGTTTTGTGCCCTCTCAGCGCCATCCCTGTGTACATGATTGTGCATGGGGGTGTGGTCCGCTGCTGCCGAGCCCTGATGAATCCGGAAGGAGGACGAAAGGTCGGCATTAGGAGAGACCGTTCGCCGCTGCAAAAAAAAGGCTAGGTGCTGAGTGAGCCTGGCAGCCAGGTTGCTTGAGCGACCTGCAACGAAGTAGGAGAGCAAAACAACCAAACGAACCTGCTCCTTAGGGAGTCGAAGGCTTTCCCTGAGTCCCGCACATTTGTCATCTCTCGTTTCCTGCCGCTGGCTGAAGATGGCAACATGCTGTGAAGGTGCAGGTGCAATATATCCCACGGACAGCGATGGCTCCATCCTGACACAGGCCTGCAAACTCCCCTGCTGCTGGGATACCATTCTCTGACATCTTCTGCGCCCTTTCCTTGCTTCCTCATCTTGATGCGCTAATCTTCACGATGCCTAAAAGAAATTCTCACGGTGTAAGTCCGACGTCCGCCGGGCCTTGTCAACACCGTAGGCAAGCAGCTTCCGCACGCACACCGTATGGTCGCGCTCGCATGCCACATGGAGGTCAAGGCATTCTTGGCAGTCTGCACAAAGCTGCCCGCTGGACCTGACATGAAAGGCGCTTAGGCACAGGAGACTGCAAAGTCCACAGCTTTCGCAAGACTTTCCCATCACAGCTTAAAGGTGACTCCCAACTCCAAATCAAAAAGCTGCCTCTGTCCAGCGACCTCTCCTTCGTATGTCCACACACATCCATTTTACTAAGAAAAAGCAGCCTTGGCAGCATGCTTCAACGTCCAAAGCATGCAGGATCCCAAAAGCCCCCTCAACCGAGACTCTACGACCCTACCGCCGCTCAACTGTGCAGAAAGCTGCGGGAACCCCAAAACCTGGCATGGGCCCTGCGTGAGGCCGGGGCCCCTCCTTGCCCAGAACCTGGTGGCGGCTGCCGCTGGCAAAGTGAGGGTTTTCAACAATTAGAGCGGTCTAGGTTTTAGGATCCAGGGTTCAGGCTTTCGGGTGGTTATAGGTGATGAGGAGTACGCCTTTTTGCGTCAAGCCCCGAAACCCCCCTAAACCCACACCAATGCAAGGCCTGGGTTGGAAGTCAGTGGCTTGGGGCTGCTTCACACGTAGGCTCAGAAAGCCTCGGTCCTGAACCGAATCGAACGAAAGAAAAAATAAGCGAGCAAGATGTGTGGAGGTGGAGAAATTGGGGCAAATGAGGCCACGCCGGGGAAAATCAATGTTGCCTCTTCCGGACGACCAAGCGGGGCAAATTGGGGTAAACTCAGTTTCGGTTCGTGATTCTCATCCGCGCACGCAATGAGCTGTCTGCCTTCATGCGCTTCTGAGGACCGGCACTTCTGCAACAAAGCTCGCAGTTGGCTCTGAGGCATGCACACCTTCATCTGGCTGCGAGTTCATCTCGAGGGATGGAGCCGTCAACCTTGGTCACGCGTCAGGCAGGTTTAGGGGCTCTGACTGCGCGATCGCTGCGCGCATGCAGAAATACTACTCTCTCTCTGAACCCTAAACCCTAAACCCTAAACCCTAAACCCTAAACCCTAAACCCAAACCAGCCCAAAGAGCCAAACAAAAAGGGCTGAGGAAGACCCGGAAAGAACGAAAAGAGAGTGAAACAGGTTAGGGGGGGGGTGGGGGGGGGGGGCGTCAGGCATTCAGGTCCAGGACTTGGCAACTAGCTTGCCACTAATTTCTACAACATTCCCGAGGACACTCCATGCGCGACCCTGACACTACATGACCTTCCTGAAACCGTTTGAGGCCCTACAAAGAGTCTTTGTTACCTGGGATATGCCCGTGCGTTAAGGCTTCTCGGCACTGATTATCGAGCTGACGGTTTTTGAGGCTTCCATGGCCTTTACGCTTTGCTTGTTGAAGGGGCGTTAGGGCTTGTTTAGGGGTTGGCCTCAAAGCGGTATGTCCCATGGTCAGGTTTAGTAACCTTCTGATAGAAACCCCAACCACTTCAAGCCGAGACTCCAAACCCCGAAGCAACCCTCGACCCTGAAACGCTCAACCGCTTGCTACACCCCGAAACGGCCAGGTGAACCCCCTAAACTTCCCGACCACCCCAAAAACCGTGAAACCCCGACGCTGCCCATCTTGGGGCCGTCGAAGTGTTGGGGCGCTAAACCAAAACTTTGCTTCTGTTGAGGGCCTTTGTTGAAGGGGATTCGTTTTCATGGGGGGGGGGGGGGGGCGCTTATATAGGTGAGGGGGTCTGACAGCTTTCGGGGTTGAGTAAGGGGGTGAAAAACAGGCCACTTAGGGTTTAGGGGGGGGGGGGGGGGGTGCGATTTGGGGCTGCTCTAAACCCTAAACCCCTAAACCCCTAAACCCCGAAACCCCTAAACCCCTAAATTCCTAAACCCCTAAACCCCGAAACCCCTAAACCCCTAGACCCCTAAACCCCTAAACCCCTAGACCCCTAAACCCCTAAACCCTTTATAGGGCTTTTGCTGGTTTTTTGTTGGGGCATGGCCCACCGTTCAGATCCCTGTTCGGGCTTTGGGTTCCAACTTTCAAGGGCTTTATAGAGCTTCAGGCGCTCGGGCCTGTTGAGGTGCTTTGGGGTTTAGGGTTTAGGGTTTAGGGTTTAGGGTTTAGGGTTTAGGGTTTAGGGTTTCGGGTTTAGGGTTTAGGGTTTAGGGTTTAGGGTTTAGGATTTAGGGTTCAGGGTTTAGGGTTTAGGGTTTAGGGTTTAGGGTTTGGAGGGTCTTTCTCATGTCTTTGGCGAAAGCTCTGATCAATGCTTTTTTGTGCCCTAAACCCCAAACCTGAAACCGAAAAGACGAATCAGTGCTTTGGTTCAACCCCCCCTGCCTCAAGCACTCCCGTAGCTGTTGATCTTTGAACCAAACAGAGAAGGGCTTTGTAGGGTTCAGGGGCCTTTGGGGCTTAGCTCCGTTTGAGGGGGCCCCTAGGGGAGCTTGAAAAGCCTACAGGCCCGGCTCAGGCTCCCGGCTGCAATCTTCTACACCTGGGCTTTAAAAGGGTTTTTGAGCTCAGGGTTTCTCAACCCTCTGCTGACAGCCCACTCACAGGGAGATGTTCAGCAGGCTTGGGTGCTGGAGGGCCTAACCGAAAACTCTCTGAGTCCTGCACCCCCTCCAGCGTCAGAGCAGCCTGGGGAGCTTGAGGCTTTTTGGGGGGCTGCAAGTGGCTGTGTGGAGCCAAGAGAGCCCAGGATCATTTTTTCAGGATTCTCTTGCGGAAGCTTGGGGCTACATACCGTCCCAGCAGAAGGTCACTGGAATTTCAGCTTCAGGAGCCCATAGGATAGCACGAACCACGAGCGTCACGAGCGGCCACGAATACTTTCAGGACCAAATCAGGCCAAGCAGCGTCGAAGTAGACCGGCCAAGTGCGAACGAGGCCGTGGAGCGCGCAACCCTTATGATGCCCTATGTCAACGTGTGTTGACACTGTTATCATTATCCTGCTTACTGCACAGCTCAGCGGCACATGTTCTACCATCCCGCAAGTCACGCAGGCATTACGTGTACATATGTGTGCGAAAGGAGGCTTGTTCAAAGACAGAAACCCTAAAAATTGCCTTCTCCGGCATAAAACCCTCATGCGGTCCTTCATGGCCAAGACTTCTTTGACCTCGTCTACTGATGTCGTGTGCGAAAAACTGGCTGCGCAGCAGCTCCGAGCCCACCTTGCCAGACGTCATGATCGAACAACCCCGTCAGCCTCGGACTCATGCAACCCGAAGCCCATCACCATGCAATGCTACTGCCCAGTACACTATGCTGTACTACGCACTACCCCACTCAGCTCTACATGCTACTCTGCTGCAGGTATACATTTGTACAAGAAAGAGTAGTACGGCACACAGCACAATAGGCATAGTGCGAACTTCTTCTTTCCTGTGGCGAGATACCTTCTAAGGCCAAGTTCAATTGGGAGGTGTCCTCATTGCAGGAGCAACGCCCCGGTAATTTGCCATTCAGCGTTAAGGTACATGGAACAACACAAGACGTGGGAGCCCAAATGTTCGGGTCCCAGTATATAGTCTTCATCTGTAGCGACATCAGCTCAGCGTCATCATCCGGGGCGCAGCGACTCTTGGAGACCATTCCATGCTTGCAGAATCTCGTGGGCCACTCGCTTTGCCTCGCGCATGCCGATGTCGACAATGCGGACGATGTACCAATGGTTTTGAGCTCGGCCTTCAAAATATCCGGAGGCTCCGGTGGAAATGTGTTGCACAACTGAGCGGGTACTATGGGCCGCAGCTCCACAATCACAGCCTCATAGTCCGCGATCATTCCCAGGTTCTAGCACACAGTCCCGGTCCGCGCGTCTGGACCACGTACACGGGAACCCCCTCAGATCATGCAGTCCAGCTTCTCCGGTGAATTGAACCGGCCTGAGATGAAGAGGTGTCACCTCTGAGCTGGCTGTCGCGGCGTGGAAAAGCCGGGTGACGGGCGTGGTGTGTAGCCTGGCGTGTGCTGAAGATGTGGTGCCTTCCGAGAACTCCCGAGAGCGACTCGCAAACACAAACCTCTGAACTGCTACCCTCGAGGACCCAGCCAGCGGAAGCGCGCGGTCCATCATGGTCAACCTGCCTGCGTGGAGCCTACGCCCCAAGACCGGGAAAAGAACACATTGCTACACATGCCGTGCCAAAGCTGGTGCGGGCATTGCGCGCAGGGGCCGAGGGCGCGACGACAAGCACCATGCAGGCGCAAGGGTGTCCGAACCCTGGTGGATCGAGGCATGGGATGGCCGTTGTCAATCCCGGCGCCGCTCAAGTGCCCGGATGCGGGAGGCGTACCCGGCGGTAGAGTAAGACGCATCTCATGTTTTCTTCCCGTGGTTTGTGCACCACCTGGGCTGGCCGACCGGGTCACAAGACCAGACGCATTTACTGCGTTCAGGGCAGTCCACGACGCGGACTACAGTGGCATGGCCAAGATTCCCAAACGCGCTAGGCACAGATACTTGCAGGCAACACCGCAGTTGGGGGTTTTCTGGTTTCAGGGCGTCCGGCGGCCGTTCTTGGGCACTGCCCTGTGCTCCCCTTTGCCTCCTCGCAGCGCGTTCCGGAGCCTCCCAAAGAGGCCGGCTGGGTGTCACGCGGTTTGGTCCGAAGTCTCGCATGGCTTCATGAGCGCGGAATGGGGGCCGGACGCGTGTCATGCGGTTCGGGCCCATGGTTTTCCCATGGTCGCCGGTCATGGGTTGGGCGTCATGTGGTTTGGGGCATGAGGTTCTTTGACCATGAGCGCACAGGGCCAGATCGTGGCACCCAGTTCGATGCGCGTTCTCCTGGTCTCCAGTGTGTCCGATCAAGAGCGTACCGAGCCGGGTGTCCATAGACCTGACGTGTCTGGAAAATCACACAGGAAGCCAGATTCCCAAGCACAAACGCATTGGCTTCTGCCTAAAGCGATCAGCTGTCTGTCCGGGCCCTTCCGAAAAACACGTACACTGGAATCGGATGCAACAAGAAAGGGAGCCTGGGGGCCGAAACCTTCGTACTAGATCCCAGATATCCCATTTTCTCACGGCCATTTTTTTCCAGCAACACGGCAAATTCAACTGCGTCTTCTTTAGGCAAACCCTAAACTTCAAACCCTAAACCCTACCTACACTATAGTTTCGGCTATCAAGCTGCGCTGCAGATATAGCAGTGTTTGAAGCTGGGACATCGTCCACCAAGACACAGCTGCTTCGCATTGCAAAGAAGTTGTCTGCAAGTCGTACTGCCTGCCGTTAGCCAGGGTTAGAAACATCATGCATCCAGACCTTTGTGAGGACTGCCAAGGCCAACTCGAACTGTTCTTGAGAGTGGCTGCATGGAATACCGCATCGTGGGGCAAAGCTAGGGAGGGTTGCGCAAGAGCATCATGGCTCCAAGCTAAACAATGTTCACCGCAGCACTTCTTGAGCAGCATGCGTGCTGGATAAGGCCGTGCTCTGGTTTGGACTTTCAGCATTCGACTTTTGGCGACTGTTGTACTGCAGAATGCCACCCTGCAAAGATTGCTCTGCAGGAATACCTCGTCAACCCTGAACCCTAAACCCGAACCCCGAACCCCGACGAAGGGCGTGAACCTTTGCCAGTGTTCAAAACCGACGCCGCCTTAACCGCTATGGCAACCATCAAGAGATTGGCCTTAAGATTAACACCGTGTTCTTAGAATCCTACGAATGAAAATCTCAATATTTCATATATGTCTTTTGTTAAAACCTTTTTTCGCACATGGTAGTAGTCGCCTCGGCTTCCAGCCGAGAGGCGTCTAGAACAAGCAGACCAGAATCCGATCTCCTCCCCCCTTTCTTCCCCGCATGCTGAATTTAGTGACGCGCCCACCCCCCTCCCCCTCTCTGGAACCCCCCCCCCCCGCAGATCGCTCGGAGGGGAGCCGCAGACCGATGCCGTG